TAAATTGAAGAGGAATCTCTGTTTTCCATCGTTTTTAAGGGTTTAAATTGAAAGGAGATTATTTATGGGACGTTTTAAGAGTTCCATCAACAGGGCCCCTCGATTTTAAGGGATCTTACAGGGAAAATGGTGTCAAAAAGCCCCAGAACTAGTGTTTCTTGAAGGAAAACCAGTAAAGGGAGGAGAGGCCTCTTGTGGGGTTAAATTGAGTGGGAATTCCATTTAAAAATTTAAATTGAGGCAGGATCCAACATTTTAAGGGTTTAAATTGAGGGAAACTCCACCCTTTCCCCCATTTTTATGTCTTATTTTGGGAGGAGACCCCCTTTATCCACCATTTTAGGGGTCTAAACATAGAGGGAATGCCTTTTTCCATTTTTGAGGTTTAAACTGAGGGAGAAAAACTTTTTTTTCATTGGTTAAAAGGGTTTAATTAGAGGGGTTACTTAGGAGGGGAAAAAGGGGAGAACAGGAGGGGAAAAGGGCAGGAAATGTGAGGGGAAAACGTGGGAAATGTGAGGGGGAAAAGGCAGGAAATGAGAGGGGAAATGTGAGGGGAAAAGGTGATAAAGGTGAGGGGGAAAGGTGAGAAAGATGAGGGGAAAATGGGTGGAAAATGTGAGGGGGAAAAGGACGGGAAATGTGAGGGGTAAAGGTGAGAAATGTGAGGGGGAAAGGTGGGAAATGTGAGGGGGGAAAAGGGCAGGAAACATGAGGGGAAAAAATGCAGGAAAGGTGAGGGGAAAATGGGTGGGAAATGTGATGGGAAAGGAGAAGGAAATATGAGGGGAAGAAGGTAGGAAATGTGAGGGGAAATGTGAGGGGAAAAGGGCAGGAAAGATGAGGGGGAAAAGAGAGGGAAACATGAGGGGGAAAGGGTGGGAAACATGAGGAGAAAAAAAGGCAGGAAATGTGAGGGGGAAATGTGAGAAATGTGAGGGGAAAAGGTGGGAAATGTGAGGGGAAAATAGGCAGGAAATGAAAGGGGAAAATGGATGGAAAATGTGAGGGGAAAAGGTGGGAAATGTGAGGGGGGGAAGGTGGGAAATGTGAGGGGGAAAGAGAGGGAAATATGAGGGGGAAAAAGGTGGGAAATGTGAGGGGAAAGGGTGGGAAATGTGAAGGGGGAAAGAGTGGGAAACGTGAGGAGAAAAAAGGCAGAAAATGTGAGGGGAAAAAAGACAGGAAATGTGAGGGGGAAAGGTGAGAAATGCGAGGGGAAAAAGGTGGGAAATGTGAGGGGGGAAAAGGGCAGGAAACTTGAGGGGAAAAAATGCAGGAAAGGTGAGAGGAAAATGGGTGGGAAATGT